TGGGAAATGTAGGAAAACATCACCGTGGCATTTTATCTCAGAAATTTATCAAGACAACTCCCACTTATACAATCCCATTGCTCCTTGCCATCAGACTTCTTGGTTCTTCTAAACCATGGACCCATTGCTCTCTGCCCATGTTATCAACCCTATTCCATGGGAGGCCAAATTTATTTCCACATGCTTGGAACTCAACAGCATTCTAAAATTTCTCTTCCTCCCTTTGCCCCTCATGAGGTTTTACATAACTGGCTTCCCGATCTCCAATCTCCTTGTCCTGAGAAAAACGACAAACAATCATCACCGTAATAGTGGCCAATATTTGTAGAGTGTAGTGGGTCAGACACTAGTCTACACACTTAACTCATATGTGCATCAACTCACTGAATCCTCAGATCATTTCACTCCCATTTACAGAAGAGGCAACTGCAGGAGAGCAATTGAGTGTCATGCTCGAGGTCACAGCACATTAGTAACAGAGCTGGGATTTGAGCTCAGGCTGGGTCTTCTAACCACTGCCTCAGTCTAGCACAGACAACCTGATGGGCCTTTCTAGAATTCCACTTCTACCTTTCACTCTCCTGGAGACATCAAAGTGAGCTTGATGTTTGCAATAAGAAGTCAAACTATTAATCTTATCATTTGAGATTCACCACCAAATGGCATCACCTTTACTGGCCTTGCCTTGGCTGGCCAACTTGAACTGTTGTTTTAATACAGGGTTCATCCTGGGAAACAATAGGCCCTTCTCCAAACCATCTTCCTCCATGCTTAATCTTGTGTATTTTCCAAGGTCTCTCTTTACTTAACAATATCCTACTTCCTTCCTATCCACCACTCCAAAGCCTCAATTGAAGTCCTGTCCTATGAATGACAAGTTAACTAAACACACTGGCCTACTTGGGTGGTCCCTTCCTCTCAATTCCTGTTGGAGTTTCTGTAAGAGAATACAGTGTGGGTCAACTACTCAGTTATTCTTGAAAGTCTACTTCATGTGTAAACCTGGCCATTCCTAATGAAAGTGAGAGTCTTGCCTAAATCATATAGACTTTACTTAAATTTTATGCACCATATAATAAAAGTTATATGCTTATATACATATATGTATATGTGTATACGTATTTTTTCAATGTTCCCCAGTCAAAGACCACCAGAAACACATCTATAATTGAATAGCTTGGATTTGTTGCTTCTTGAAATGAAGGAGAATATACATATCAAGAAGAACTGTGGTGTGTCATTAACAGAGTATTAGAAAGAACTTATTGTAGAAGTTTGGCTTCTATTAGGTGATTGGGGGGTTGAAGAAGTGGGGCTTTACTTTGGATGGATGCTGTCAGGAAGCATAGCAAACAGGGGGTAATTCTATAATCAGGTACCTTGGTCATGTCTGGAGAAGGAAAGAAAGGAGAAATGAATTTCCAACTTTAATTTAGTAGGAAATTAAAGCTGTAATTGGTCAAGAAGCAGCAATGACTTGTATTAACCAGGAGAGGGTAATATCTGGTATTTTTGTGCTTTGTATAGTGACCTTGCTTTTGTCTATTCATAAACAAGATATAAAGTGGTCTTGTTTTTTGTTCTGATCCATCACAGTCACAGGATGATCTTGACTGGTGTCAGCATTCTGTGAAAGTACTGATCATCAACAGAACCACAGCAACCACATTGGGTGCTGGGGTCTGTAACAACGGTGGTCTCCTGCAGGTCACTCACATCCCTGAGGCTGGGGTTCCTGTTGACCTTGGAGGGGGGGTGGGTTCTACTTTGTCCTTGCTCTGCCAACTTCATATCCAGATTTCCTTCCCAACTGCTGGCCCAGTTGATTTCAGGTTCAACGCCAGATGCAAAGGCAATAACACCTCACAGATGTCTCCCCAGGGCCTACAGTCTATGTGGTCATTGTAATCCCTTATTCTATATGACTCTCGTAAGTTCTAATTCTCTAAAACAAACAAACAAAAACCCTGACCTATACTCCAGATTTCAAGCAGAAAGGAGACTCCTCATCCTTGGAGCTCTATCCCAGGACACAAGGGCCATGCTATGGGGGAAGATGAACAGTATCCCTACAGCACCAGACATGGCCAAGAAACAGGTTCGTGTCTCACCCTCTTGCCCTGATCTGGAGTCTAAGGTCAGTGTGGTTGAGTGCTTGCTGTTCATGAGAGCAGAGCTAGAGTATGAAGATCTAGAGGAGGTGGCAAATGGCCATAGAATAATGAACCAAGCAGTCCCAGGTGGCGTCACCAAGATTTGGGGCCAGGTCCAGCTCCTATGGGGAGCACAGTCATTGCTGAGATGCCATAAATGTGAACCAAATCTGAGTGGCAAGACAAGGATGGAGAATGACACTGAATAGTTTAAAGGATGTGGGGAAAGTAGGGAACATGCGGTCCAGGGGAGGGGTCAGGACAGAGTTAGAGAACAAAGAGGACGAGCTTGGCACCCACGTGAGACATGCCTACAGAGGCAGGTGTGGTGGCGCCGTGCCCAGCTGCACAGCCCCGCCCCTGCCAGGTAATCCAGGCAGCACCTAGACGCCAGGCACTGTGTCCAGGCTTCACACAACCTCTCTCTCAATCACCACAGCAACCACAAAAGACAGACGTCACCATGACCACCTAACAGATGATGAAGCTGTTATGTGTCTTGCCCCTGACCACTTAGAAAAGGGGCTGAAAGACAGGAATTTGAATTTCTTTCTTTTTTTTTTTAAGATTTTATTTATTTATTTTTAGAGAGCGAAGGGAGGGAGAAAGAGAGAGAAACATCAATGTGTGGTTGCTGGGGGTCATGGCCTGCAACCCAGGCATGTACCCTGACTGGGAATTGAACCTGCAACACTTTGGTTAGCAACCTGAGCTCAATCCACTGAGCTATGCCAGCCAGGGCTAGGAATTTGAATTTCTTGATCAGACTTCCATTATGCCTCTCAAGATCCAAGCTTTCTAGGTTTTAAAAAAGAGGGGAAAATAACCCTTGGAATAACCTGATAAGTATTTGTAGAATCTAATGCACCAGCTCCAGTCAAGGCCTAAGGTGACTGCAACCTCATGTTAACCTCAGGTCCCCAACTCCTGACCCATCAAACTGGGAGAGAATGAACACTTCTTGTTTTAACCCACTCAGTGCTGGACATTTATTACTCAGAAATGGATAATTAACATACATCTGTTAGGTTAAGCCAGTGATTTTCAACTGGTGTGCTACAAGAATTTTTAAAACAGGCACTACCTGACTATTTAGTCCAGGGCACTGACCTTTTTCCCCTCAGATTGTCAAATAAAAAGGAAGACAATAGCCAACATAACAATAACCATTCAGTATGAATGAATCAAAATTATACCTATCTTTTGTCAGATCAGTAAAAAATATATTTTTAGCGTGCCACAGAGTTTAGGTAATTAGTTACGTGTCCTGTGAGATGAAAAGGGTTGGAAATCACAGGATCAAGCCACAGGATGTGGGGAAGGAGTACAAGGAGTGCAGTGTGACTGACAGAGGGCCCCAAGGAAGCCTGGCACACATAGAAAGCACCAGAGATTCTCTTCTGGTGCGGAATTATGTAAAGACACAGCGAAGGAGAGGCAGGCTGGGAAACAAATGTATTCCGACCTCCAGTCTTAGGGCTGAAGTTTTTGAGATCGAATCTCTCTGATGGGCTGAGGAAGAATACAGTTCCTATCTGGGTGTGTGGGAAGTAAACATCTCCCCCGGTGCCCTGTAGTGACCCTGGGTCCTCAGCCCTCATGGGGTACAGGAAAACAAGAGATGTTCCCATAGGCCCCTAAGGGAGGAAGAGGAGGTCACTGAAAGTCTGGCTGGGTAGCTGCCAGAGAAGGTCATCACTGTGGTGATGAGGCTGAGAGACCCAAACCAGGGTCAAAGGGCAGTCACGCCCACATCTCGGGAGAACCAGTGCCAGCCAGAGCTGAGAAGCCAACCGAGTCAGCAGGGAGGACCGCTGAGCCCCAGGGAAGCAGAGAGAGCGTAGCACGAGTTACAGTAGTTACAGACCCCAGTACCCAATGTCAATGTCAGCAAAACACACGGGAAGGGGAAGACTCATCACACACATCCATGAGCCAGAGGGCCTCAGGAGCCCTACTTCATCCTGGTGCTTAAAGCCACACAGGCCCCCAGGGCAGCAGCTTGGAGAGGAGGAAGCTGGTGAGGGGAGCAGGGGAGGAAAGATAAAGACGTGAGTCCCCCAAAAAGAATGTTACTGAAAAGATCACTTCAGGGATTTGGAGGGTTGAGGTCATTTATTTTCTATTCATTAATTTTTTTTAGTCCTCACCTGAGGATATGTTTATTGATTTCAGAGTGAGAAGAAGGGATAGAGAGAAAGGGAACATTGATGTGCGAGAGAAACTTGGATCAGGTGCCTCCCGTATGCACCACCACCAGGGGTCAAACCCACAACCCAGGCATGCGCCTTGACCTAGAATCGAACCCTCGACCTTTCGGTGCACAAAATGACACTCCGACCAAATGAGCCACCTGGCCAGGGCATGACTGAGTTCATTCTTTATCTCCACTGTCCATCGGGAGCCAGGGGTGGGGCTTTAAAGGGAAATCACTGAAGTTATAGAAAACAGTGAAGCTACATTATCTTGGCATATCTCCATCTAGTAAATAGGTGACTCCAATTCAGAAGCTATGAAAACGTGTCATACAGCTTTATGGAGGTTCACACAGGGGTTGTGCCAGACCTAGAACATGAGAACTGGAGGAAACACCAGAAAGAATCTAATTCCTGCTATTTCCCTCTGTTTGTACCTATCTGATGGCACCCAGGCCCCCCCTCTCCCAGCCCGTGAGCCCACAAACTCCAACGGCTGGAACTGAAAAGACGGCATCAGCTCTGCCATGCGCATTTTTGGCAACGATACCCTTAGGATCTATTTTAAAGGGCCGTCACCCCGCTGCTGGCCCGGACACACGTAGCTCAGAGAAGCCGCATGCCGGAATCAAAGCCGTAGCATACTTGTTCCGTAGGTCAGAGGCCGACCCTTGTTTTATTAAAACGTGTACAACAGAGGAGGAGGGAACAGGGCCACACTGAACCGTGGCAGTGTGCACCAACGCCAGCATCACATCACATCCAGGCTCTGCTGTCCTGCACTGTCCCTTCGAAGAGGTGGCTCTTCGGAACTTGGTGTGGCTGGAGCCTGGGAAGACACCTCATGAAGCCCAGGCCTCCTGGTCAGCCTTCTCTCGACCAGAGCTGCCCATGACATTTGTACCACTGAAGGGCAGATGGGAAAGCCCACCGGGTCAGTTGAATGGGGATGTTTTCTTTGCTATTCATAGTCTTTTTTTGAAGAAACTCAGTTGTTGCAAGCAGGTGTTTTCCAAATGGTCCGAGCAGTAGGGAGGCAGGGGCCTACCAGAAAAGTGAGCTCTTCCCACCCTTCGCTAGATCTGACCTTGAAATCAGAAGCCCTGGCTCAGCCAAATTCAAGGGCAGAGTCACACCTCAGGGCCCACACTGCCTCATGCAACACACGCATGGATGGACACGCAGACGAGCTTCTCAGTGGGCCTGAGGCTCATTTCATGTTTCTCTCGATCCAGTCCTTAAAAGGCAGCACATTGGTGAAGGCCGTGTAGAGGCCGTGGCTGCACGTTTTGTCATAGCTCCAGCTGACCAGCCCCACCAGATGCCAGCGCGGCTCAGGGGACGCCCGCCCCGGGAAGGACACGGCTCCAACGCCCCCGGTCTCTGCTGTGCAGATGTCAGAAGGGGCGGCGGGGTCCCGGCTGGCACAGAACATGTTGTCCGTGACACTCACTGGGATGCCGTGGTCTTCGTGCTGCTCCTCACACGTGAGCGAGTCCACCACCCTGACCACCCCTGAGCGCAGCACGTCGTTCTTGAAGCCGGGGCTCCTCACATCTGCCAGGACGTTCCAGCCAGCCACGGTGATGCGGGACTCCTGGAAGGAGGTGCTGAGGTCCCGCGAGGCTGCGAGGCAGATGGGCTGGACGCGGGTGCTGATGCGAGCCTTGTCCAGGAGCTTCAGGACAGCGATGTCAGCGTCCAGCAGGATGGGGTCGTAGTTGGGGTGCAGAATGATCGCAGAAATCTACATATGCAAGGAATGGACAGCAATGGTGAGCAGCCAACTCTGCAGTGGCCAAGAGCAGGCAAGCACCAGGGCAGAGCTATCAGGAGAAAATGTCTAAGGGACAGCTACCACTATTTGGAGACACTACACTATGGCATCGCAGAAGGCAACTGCTCTATTTCCAGGGTCGCAAACTGAAATGACTGCTGGGGGTGGGCAGATGGTGCTAACTAAGTGCAGTGGGCAGGAGAAGCTGCAGAGAATGAGAATGTACACCCCGTCCAAAGTGGGCAATTGCCACCTGGCTCCAGATGATGTCTGCCATGCAGCCATGGAGCCAGCATTCTCACTTTGCCAGGGAAGAGAGTCCAGATCTTTTTCTGAACCCTGAGTTTTAAATGTTGGCGAATAACTGATTTAGAAGTGATATGTTAGCACTATCTAAACACAAACCCCTACTGGCTACCAATTTGCAATCCCTGGTCCACTCTAAACATTTCATTTGCCTTCAACCCGGTAAGACTGAATGTTCCACAAGACTTTTCCACAAAGTCTTCCCTGATTGTCCCAATCCTTGCTGGTCACTTTCTTTGATGGGGGCCTTACGTCTGTGATACCTTGTAACATTTTATGTATATGTTCTGTTATTTCACCTAAATCTGGGTGCGTTTCCTCAGGGCTTCTTTTGAATTGAAGTAATCATGATACACTACTATTTTTCCCACTAACAGCCTGTGGACTTTCAGGGCAAAAACCATGCCTTTTTCAGTTCTGTATCCATTCCCTGTGAATAGCATTCTGTGAACTCAATGATGGATAGATGGATGGATGGATGAATGGATGGATGGATAGATAGATGGATCAGTGGATGGATAGATGGATCAATGGATGGATGGATGGATCGATGGATGAATCAGAGAGTAAGTAGATAGAAGAGATGAGGGAAGAAGGCAGACATGGAAAGAGAGAATATTTTAAATTGATTAGGAATATCTTGGATAAAATTTCCCAGTGTCCTCAAAGCCTACCTAGTGCAGTGCCCTAAACATAATAATAGGTGATTCACCTTTGACTACCACAATGACAGGTATTTGTTACTAACTTATTTTTTAGAACAATTGGAGGGGAGAAAAAGATTGTAGTCTTTCTAGACGCCCCCTTTCTTGTAGTTGTCAGTGTGAAACAGTGGGGACCTGCTGCGTGCCAGGTGCTGTGCTGGGTGCTAAAGTGCAAGAGTGCTAAGGTGACAGGACTGACACAGTCACCGCTGTCCTAACCCTGGGCGCTCGCTCAGCCACAGACCCAGTTTCCACGCTGCAACCCACTCTCACCCGCAAGCTCTGGATGGTCTTCTCATCCCGGTCATCGTCCCGGTAGAATTTTCCCAGGACGACTTTGAGGTCCGCTGTCTTGACCATGGTGACCTTTCCCAGGTCGGTGACGCAGTGGGCAGCCACCACCACAGTGCGCTCATTCACCAGGGCCCCGCTGCAGACCAGGAACCACTCCTCCTTGTGCAGGCTGCCTCCATGCACCCCGCTGGCCCTCCTGTAGACGGCTGCTTGCCACGGCCAGCGCAGCCCCTGGGTCTTCGGAGCAGTGGCATTCTCAGTTTTCCCACAGACTATGGAGAAAGCGCCAGCTCAGTCAGATCAACTCAGACCTTCCCATCTACCATCCACGGGGAATGTGTCACATGACCAAGAGAGCACAAGCCCATTGGTATGTCATGACCACTAAGCATCTACCATATTTTGCCGTGTATAATGCACAATTTTTTGCTCCAATTTTTGAGGGAAAAATACAGATGCACATTACACATATGTAGTACTAATTCCATATCTATGCAAATGTTTTAAATTCTTTCATTCATGCTTATGTGTTAACAGTATAATTCTAGAAAGCAATAATGATATCTGTATGCAAAATAATACCTCATCAGTTATTGGAATAAGAGCATCAGTTATATATATATATATATATATATATATATATATATATATATATAGAGAGAGAGAGAGAGAGAGAGAGAGAGAATTAAAAAAATTTTTAAAGATTTATTTATTTATTTTTAGAGAGGGAAGGGAGGGAGAAAGAGAGAGAGAGAGAGAGAGAGAGAGAGAGAGAGAAACATCAATGTGCGGTTGCTGGGGGCCGTGGCCTGCAATCCAGGCACGTACCCTGGCTGGGAAAAGAACCTGCGATACTTTGGTTCACAGCCCGCGCTCAATCCACTGAGCTATGCCAGCCAGGGCTTGAATTAAAAATTTTAAATGAAAGATTTTTTTTCCTGAAAGTTTGGACCAAAATCATGGGTGTGCATTATACATGGCAAAAATTACAGGGTAACCTGTTTTCTTTTCACTTCATTAAGTATTAACCAATCACCTTGATTGGATCGGAGTCTAGAGTTAAGCTTGGAGACCTCCAATCCCAGGCACTTACTGCGCAAGTTGCCTCATCTCTTACAGCCTCAGTCTTCTTGCTTGCAAAATGAGTAGAGGAATAGCAATCATCTCACAGGGTGAGATGATGTATAGAAATAGTTACACTCAAAATATTATGACTATCATTATAAAGATGACCACCATGAACTAAGCCAAATTGCTTTTTTTTGACAATGAGGATGGAGAAGGTAGCCTAGTATGTGCAAGACCCTATTCCAGATACTTCCATGTATTACCTTGGTAATCATCACTAGAACCTTATGAGTAATTAATACCTCATTATCTAATTAATAATGATACGCTAGTTAGTACCACTGGATAATGAGGGTGAAAACTGGGGCATAGACAGAGTAACAAAGGTGACATAACTAGAAGCTATCTGGCACCTTGAACCCCTTCCCTACTTGGTGTTTAATGACTCTTTTCTCCCTCTTCTCCAAGTAAATATAATAGAATTATCCACAAGAAAGTATGTCTTCCTCCCCCCCCCAAAAAATTACCTAAGATTTAATGAGTTAATTTCTGCTGGGTAATAAGTTTAAGCCAAAGGAAGGAAGCTCTAACTGTGGAATTTCAGACATCACCAAGCTAGAGAAAGTACTGGACTACCATTTTGGGGGGCAAGGAATTTTCCCCCCAAAAAAGGGCTCATGGCTTTTGGTAGGCAGCCATGTTGATGGGAGCTGCTGCAGGCAAGGTCAAGCCTGGACTCACTAGGGATGCAGGATGGGGCACGCCCACTCCACTTCCCAGTTCTCAGACAAGTCCTCCGGCTGCTGCCCAGACGGCGGTAGAATGGCGAGATGCACTCATACTGGAGTTGGGTGTGCAGGTGTTGGTACCCCGTAGGCAGGTCTCCAAAAGGAAGGGCTGGCTTCTTGGTAGGGGCACCCTGCAGTTTCTGCTTGCTGAAGGCTGATGAGTACAGCTGGTGTAATGGTGTCTCCCTGCATCGGGGCACATGGGCCCAGAGAGAGAGCAAAGCGAGACAGTCATTGTAGTCTTTTTAGTTCCAGGCCAGTCCCCATGTAGATGTTGGGTTAAAGAGGAAGAGAACAATGGCTATCTTATTCTCTGTCTCTCTTTTCCCCTTCCTCTCTCCCCCACCTCTCTCTCTCTCTCTCTCTCTCTCACACACACACACACACACACTCCCCCTGTTCCATTGAGCAAATTATCTCGCACACTTCAACCTTCCTTTTATTCTCCATTTCCGTTCCTGGCATGTCTCCAGCTGCCTAGGATTTTAACCAAAGAGGATAATATCTGACATAATAGCTGCCATCCAAAGGAACACTATACATGCACACACATGAAAAAAAATTAATTGTGAAATTAAACAGGAAAGGAAGTTAATTTGAATGAAAGAAATCCAGGCCTCTTTTTTTCTCTCTAACCATTATCATAATGGAGCAATATCAGAAATTGACTTGAACTAAACTGTGTTGATACAGTAGTTTGATTTAGCAATTAGAAGATGTAATTAGCATACCTCGGAGAATAGAGCTTTCTCTCCGGGCACATTGACTGGGAAAACTATGGAGCGTTGTGTGTAAATGTCAAAAGAGTTTTCAAATGAGCCCCGAAGTCGAAGCCCCCAGGGACCACTCGGGGATTCTCAGGGGAGATGTTCGCACATAATGCAGCCTGTGTTCACTTTATATTGGTGCGTAATAACTGTTAACTGAAAAGTTAGAATTCCTTCAGGAATCAGTGTTCTCATTCTGCTTAATGAATGGAGGAAGGAAGCCCAGAAAGGTAAGTGGGAGTGCCTGAGGGTGCACAGGAAGCTAAGACGGGACCCAAGGCAGCACTTATCAGGCATCATTCCCACCCTGGTGCCTCTACCGCCCCAATCTGATGTCATCTTAAGCAATCTATCTCATGTGTCTCTACAGTGCTTTGCTCAGAGCAAATACTCCACCCACACTGATGCCATCCAACAAGTCTTCAGCTCACGTTCAGAACCAGGTCTGCAGTTTGGAGCTTCTGGACTTGCAGACAAGCTCATCTCCTGGCCCGTCTGTGGAAGGTCTACACTATCTTTGGGGGTCCTGGGTAGGGCTGCTGGAGACAAGCATAGCCCCACCCCAGCAGTCTGTCATCCAGAAAGATCCTCAAAACCAGGTTTTAGGCTCGCTTCCTCATCTACATGCAACACCTGGCACCCTGACACCTGACCTCCCACTAACAATTACTTTAAAATGCAAAGCCAGGGGTCTTTTTAACAGCTCAGGCCCTCCTTTAGGAGATGGCTCCTTGGGAAGAACAGGTGTACCAGGCTTCTCCCACTTAGTGAGAGTCCAGCCCAGGTGAATCACAAGATCAGAAAAGGGGGCGGCATTTGGCTTCCACTGCCACTCCCAAGGGAAGGTCATCCCTGAGGAGGGAAAGTCAGAAATGGAATGAGACGGCCGGAGGAAGGGTGAGGGACTGATGAATATACTGATGGAAGGTCATTTCAGGTCATTTGATGGGTTCAGTTCCAGGATTTTAATCAAAGAGGATAATATTTATTACTATTTCAAAAAACAATAGCTATTACTGATAGGTGTTCATACACGTAAGGTGTTTTGCTAAGGCCTTTACAGAGGCTTAAAGTTTAGTGCATCAGGGAGCAGACCCTGAAGACTCCAGACCCCCCAAACCCTGGATTTGCATCCTGGCCTGGCCATTTCTCCCAGCAGTGTGCCTTTGGGCAAGGTCCTAATTTCTCTGAGCCTCAGTTTACCCACCGGTCATAAAAATGGTAATAAGATCTATAATAAAACAACAACAATAATAAGACCTACCTCAAAGGTTGTAGTGAGGATTAAATAAGCTAATATACACAAAGCACTCAGAAGAACAATGAGTACATCGCAAACACTCAGAGCTAGTGTTGCATTTAATCCTCACAAAGACCCCCAGAGACAGATGTTATTATGATTGTCCTTATTTTCCAAAAGAGGAAACAAAAAGCTCAGCAAGTTTAGGAACTTGTCCAAGAATAGCCAGCACTAAAGAGAGATAAACCAGGTCTTGAACCCTTGTTTGTCCATCCAATGCAGTCATTCAATCAGTAGTTATCAGGTGCCTACTATGGGGCAGGTGTTGCAACTTCAGCATGAGCAAAAATAATGTTCCTGCACATGTAATGTTTACATTTTTTGGGTGGGGTTGAGAGGAGATGGAACAAATTACTCAAAAAACTGTATGTAATACATAAGGCTAAGATGTCTTAGCCTACAGGATGCTAAGGTGAAAAGTGAAGCATATTAAAGGCCAGAGCGCACTGGGTAAAGAAGTCAGCTCGGCAGTCGGGGTGGAGGAGACGAGGTTGCTATTTTCTGAAGGACATCAGGGAAGGTCTCTCTGCTAGGTCAAAACTGAGCAGAGAAATGAAGGGAGCAAGGCACTAAGCATCACTGAAATTCAGCGGCAGCAGTATCCAGACGGAAGTTTCTGTGGCAGAACTGCACTTGGAGGGACACAGGACAAGCAAGGCGGTCTGCATGGCTGGAGTGGAGACGTGAGCGAGAACAGAATGCTGGGAGGTGAGAAGAGAAGAGTATCTCCTACATATAAGGGAAGGGGAACTAGAAATGGGTCTATCCGCTCCCCACAGGGTGGCCCCCTCTGTCTGTCCAGGAGCAAGGCTGGGAGGGCGCACCTGAGGGCTCACAGCCCTCCTCAGGGATGGGCATTTGTCTCTAGCTCCCGGGCTCCACCAGCCGGCCTCATGTGGTTGGCTGCTACCAAGAGCATCTTCCCAAACCACAGCTGGCTGAATCTGGCAGGAATGCCATCTCCATAGAAACTGCCATAGTAAATGCATAGAAATCTCAGGAGAAATACAGTTTTGAAAATCAAGCTCATCAAAGATCATCTTAAAGTCTTGCTTTCCACCAGCCACCTACTTTCCCACGATCCAGGGGAATCTGTACATCTTCCAACGCACTGCTACCTCTTGGCTAAAGGCAGCTTTTCAATAAGCCACCTAACACGCCCTGTTCTTTCATGGCCAGTCAGCACTGAGTGTCCCTAAGAAACCCCAGGCTGACTGGCCAAACACAAATGGGAAAAGGGATGGGTGGGAAGGGAACATTCTTTCGCCTTCACCTTTCAAGCGGAGGTCAGGTGTGTCAACCTCACCTTGACTGAACCTGCATTGGAAGAACTCTCCGTCTCACCAGGTCGGAGATCTTTGGTTCTCGGCAGGCTAGGAAACAAGAGGCAATGCTGGGTAATTTTTTTTTCCATTTGAACCGTTCACATTCATTCAGTTCAGATTCACACCTGACCACCCTTCCTGGACACCGGGCGCACATTCCCCGGGCTCTCGGAGGCGTGAGGCGTTGTCAGCCAAGCGTGGGCGGCGCCCTCCGCAGAAGAGCACACTGCCGTTCAGCCACAGCAACCCCACCTCTGCAGAGCCCAGGGGTGCGCTTCTCCGGTGTGCAAATCCACCCGTGTGACTTGGAATAACAGCAGCTGATAGACTACGTCTACCCATTCACATCAATAGTATCAGCAAACTGGGTCCAAAGGGAATAAAAAGTGGAAGTGACGGTCCTGAAATCAAGCCCCACAGAGGGAACCACAAGGTTCTCATCTAAAAGCAGAAGCCGTCCATCAGTGAGTGTCGAGCCACTGATTCCTCCGCATTCGTTCTCTGCAGCCGCAGCTCCTGACAATCGTTGGAGGGCAACTCAAAGCCCAGTGCGTTTTTGAAGTCTTTTTATTTTTCTTTGCAAGTGAAACGAAATCCGACCCATCTCACTTTCTCAATCAAGCAGCCAACATTTATCCAATTAGCAACCTAGAGAACTTTCGTTGTGTTAACAACTTGTAAGAGAAGAGATGACAGACATCTCCAAGGACGCATGTGACACCATTTCCATACTTAATGAAACCAAGAATCAGAGTCTGTGCTGGTGGGGATGAAAGTCGCTTCTGGCGAAAGTCTAAAGTGGTTTATTCCTTTCACAAACCCTTCTCTTTCATTCCCTTTCCCATGATTAGGGTTGTGGACAATTACCCAGAAGGGAAAGTGGAGGATGGAGGCAATTATCTGGATAATCTAGGCCAAGGACACGCTTTTCTTCTCTGGAAACAACCAGATAATTGTGACCTGCCCCCCCGCCCCACCAAAGAGAGGGGTTGTTGACCTGGAGCAAACAGTGAGAAACTGCACATCCCCACTGCCAGGGGGTGAGGGCCAAAGTTCTCTATAGAGCATTCCATTTTTTGGGGTCCCAAACCACCTTTTTATTCAGGTACCTCCCAGATTCCCAGATTGCCTCACTTTGAGTTGACATGATTCTTTCCCTTCTGCCTACACCTCTCTTCTTCTCCTTTGTCTTCTGACTAGAATATCACCCCAGCTCCTCTCCACCTCCACCAACCTTCCCCAGCCTCCCTGGCTGGCTCCAATCCTACTCGCTCAGTGAAACTGTCCACACTTCTGGCTATAGGGTCACTCCTTCCTCTGAACGTACACTACTCGTCTCTTCCTAGAATTCTGCCTCGAGTGTTCAAGGGTTTTCTGTTTTTTAAAGATGTTTTTAAACATTTTAACACCTCAAAACTCTGTCTACCTAGGCTGGCAGCCATGATGTGTCTATTTTGTTCTTTTATTTCCTGCATAGATGTATAGGACATAGCGAGTACATAAACGGAGCTATAAAAATGCATGTCGATCGCTTCACTCCTGTCCTTGGGTTTGCGTGTGAAAACTCAGCCCCGCCATCTTTCCTAAACTGCTCTGATACCTACGTCACTTTCCTTGATCACACTGGGATGTTGTGATTAGGATGAGTGGGTGTGGGGCAGTGCAGGACAGAAGCAAATGGTTTCAGGGATGGTTTCCAACCGAAGACGAATAAACGTATGGTTCCAGTGAGAACTTAAGAGAGAAAGACACTTTTTCCATGGGCTTGAAAACATGTATGGGAGCTACCAAAAAGTCCAGCACCTCTATCTCTATCTCAATAGACTTCAGAAATACCTGTGGTTACCTTTTATGCAGATGGGCTGCTTCCCTGACCACTCTCCATTCTGCTGGCAAGTTCTGTTCTCATTGCCACTAAGAACATATGAGCTGTTACAAAAGAAGGAGACGACAGTGCCAATTTTTGCATAGCGCCCACTGATGAGCCCAGGGCCTCCTGTGATCTTCTTGTACCCATTGACGGGGCCCCCGGGGTCTGAGCAGTTTCTTTCTTCAACGACTAGAGAGAGAACAAAAGAAAAGGAGAATTTAAAAGTCTGACGCATTGCATCGTAGAATTGAATCTTTTCATGTTTCGTTGAATGGAAAAGGCAGTGATACGCAACGAAACTACCAAGACAAAGCTTACAATAAAGAATGCATGTATTAGTCATATCATTCCCTTTGTAAATGATTTATTCTTAAATCGAAAAGTATTTCATTCTCTAGGTAAAGAAACTTGACGCCACATCTGGCTCACGTTCACTTCTTTCTCAGAGTGTAGGGGCTGGGCAGGCCTGGACAGAATGGACATTCGCCTGGATTTCATGGCCAGCATACAAGGGTTATAATTTTTCAGTGTTTCTGTATTATCTCCTTTGTCCCCTAAAACTTGAGCAATTAAACTAGATTATTTCCTATTTTTGTTGTACCCAGAAAGTGGAACTGATTTTCAAAAAGATTGCAAATATACAATGAATTTACATTTTATATTTCATCTTCAGGAATATAAGTGTATTGAAAGTAATTGTTAAAAACACTAGAAGACAATATCAATTCAGAGATACAGCAAATTTCCCTGGATGTCCAAATATAACTTTGCATCTAAACACCGACCAATATTCATTACAAAGGTATTTCTATTCTCTAATTCATGATGGACAGCTACTTAAACAGCATCACCAGCTATTCTGAGCACTGAACAGGATATTAGACATATCCTGAAAGTATTCTATCAGATAGCTAACAACCATATTTTTCTCAGATGGATTATAGCACAGTACTGAAGACTACTTGCCTAAGGACACAGAGCAAGGTCCCTGAAGAATTCAACCTTTAATTCCTGATTTTGGGTACCAATCACTCTATTAGCCTTCCTAGTCTCTTTTCCACCATTTTTTTCTAAGACACAGGCTTGCTCCTAGAGGACAGTGTCCATGCAATGCAATCATGCTTCCGGCATGCTGCACCTAAGTCCCTTCGTATCCTTTTACCAACTTGACCTTCCACATGAGCTTTATTGCTGAGAGCTGGCCCCTGCCACCTTCAGAGGCCTGCCCTCGGGTGTGGGCACCAACTTCTTCACAGGAAGAGCTGAAAAATGCCTCTGTTTTTATCCCCTCGCTCAAGAATCCAGTCACGGCTTTGCCTTTTGGAAGTGCAGCATGTGCTTCTACAGAGAAAGACTATGAAATGTCGTGAGCTATCGATTTCACTGATTGTCTCGCACCTTCTATTTAATGAGAGTGTCTCTGTGCCCAGCAGGATAAGGCATCGGCAGATGTTTTTTTTTTTTTCTGTGACTATAACACAGAAATTTTCTGTTTAAATCAAGACATAGAAATGATGACAGTTAAGCCTTGAGACATCTCAAAGTTCTCCTGAGCTTCACTTAAGTAGTTACAAAAATATGGATTGGGGCCTTCCTTCCAGTTATTTATTCCCCAAGTCATCAGGGGAATAGATATAGATGTTGTGTATATGCAAATGTATTTTCTTCATTAGCATCAATTTATCCTAAGTGATTATGCCTTCCTCAAATGTACTTCTAAAATTACACCAGAACTTATGGCCCTAACCCAGGAATAAAGTAGAGAATCATGGGGGCCTGAAGTGAATTTGAATGGGGAAGGCATCTCAGAAACTATCACCCAACCCCAGCCGTTAACTATCGTCTGAGTTGAAACAAAGATTTCATCAGGTACAATCAATAGAGCTGGGTTGGTACCACCTAACCTGTGGTGTTTTCGGAAGAAAATCTCTTACTCTGCAGGAGGGAGCTTGGGTGAAATGGAACCAGGCCTAGTTTAGATGCTCCTGCTAAGAAGAACCGCTGGAGATCTGTTAGAATCTGCGCCCCCTGTTGCATCACATTCGTGTTCTCCCTGTGGTACTGGACGGCGCTGTGGACACAGAATTACTGTTTAACCAGGGCACATGTTGAAGTTAATGCAGTGTGACCAGTCGATCAAGGGCACAATTGCGAAAGATGAGATGGTTAGCAGAGGCCCAGTGACCCTTTCCTGTGACAGGAGCAGCCACATTCTAACCCCCATCTGAAAAATGTGAGATGGCAAAGTTTGACTGAGTCCTTCAGAAGAGTCCAAGTCCTTTGGGAGGCATCAGAGGCTTGCCCCACGAACAGCACGGGAGTCTCCACTCACTTCCACCACCCCACCGTGTGAAGAACTGGGCTGGTTCTTATGCACAGAGAACAGTGTGTGTGCTTGTGTGTGTGTGTGTGTGTGTGTGTGTGTGTGTGTGTGTGTGTGTGTGTGTGAGATATCAGTTCTTGGATCTGACACTGGATTTTTTTTTCATCAATATACAGAAAATCATATTTTGAGCATCCTTCAGACAACGCAACCCTGAAACAGAATATTATTCAGCATTGATCAAGGGCTTACGTAATAGTTTAAAGAAACAACCCAGTGGCGACCTAGTGAACCTGAGCTCTAGCCATCCATTAAGTCAGCTCCTCAGAGAAATACTTGCACGGAGTGGCTGCGGGCTGGGGGCCCCCAGAAGCAGGCTGGAAGATGAGGTTTGAGTGCAGCTAGTTTTTCAGGTGCACATCCCAGGAAAGACCAAACGTTGTGCAGGGGAAGTAAGACAGGGACATTCGCAGTAACAAGGAAGTTATCACCGGAGGCAACTGAGGTTCAGTGCCTTTAAGAAACTCTGGGAGACAGTGTAGAACCTGCTGCGGAGTCATCCTACCCAAGGATCAAGGGATACAAGTCATTACCTACCCACAGCCCTCAACCTGTTATTGAAAAATGACGAATAAACAATAACTTCTCAGCGCCTCTAGCCTGCCCACACACATGAGCCAGTGGGCTCTGAGAGGTACAAAGAGCCCTCTGGTGGAGTTGCCAGAGCGTGGGGTTGGAGCCCGTGGGGCAGTGAGCACAGTAGTGGTGTAAGCATAATAAGGCCCTTTTTTTTCTTTTCAGGGAAGGTGAAAGGATCTAGTTTTTAGAGATATTGGGTATAAAATCAGACTAAATATTTGCTATTTACAAAACTGAAGGGGAAAACATTTTTCTAGCAACCCATTTTTAGACAAAGAGAGGAAAGGAATTATAATAAAGTGGATAATCACATTTCCAAATGAACTTGTTGTGTTTATGTTCCTTCAATACACAATTAGAACCTACAGCATCCAAAGCAGTTCTCCTTTTGTCTTTCCTGCCAGGAAGCTCAGAATCAGAGTCATTGGAGGCTGATCACTTCATCTGATGCAAAATTTGAAGCTGAATTTAACTCTCTCATCCTATCTAGCATTTTCGTTTGCTCACTCTTGCCCTCCTTCTACATTATTTTGTTTTCTGTTAATTACTATTATTTATACCTGCTTGCTTTGATGTCATTAGTTTGATGTCAAATAGTTTGATGTCATTTGCAAAGCTGCACTAAAAACATACATTTCAGCCCTGGCTGGCGTAGCTCAGTGGATTGAGTGTGGGCTGAGAACCAAAATGTCACAGGTTCGATTCCCAGTCAGGGTACATGCATGGGTTGCAGGCCATGACCCCCAGCAATCGCACATTGATGTTTCTCTCTCTCTCTCTCTCTCTCTCTCTCTCTCTCTCTCCCTTCCCTCTCCATAAATAAAAAAATATTAAAAAACAAACAAACAAACACACATTTCTTTTCTAAAATTTTATACTAGTGAAATATTTACGGTACCCAGAGAGACACCAGAAGGGGGAAAATGAAGTCAGAATACTATGTCTCTTCAGCAGGAGCTGCATATCACAGCTGTAAGATCATCTGGGAATATGAGCAAAGCAGACAGATCCGGAGTCAACAGAATTCATTACCCCGCTGTCTAGCTGGGTGGGAGCTGGGAGCCGGAGGCACGTGACCCTCAGTTCTTCACACACTCTTGGTGTCCACTCGCTCTCACTCGTCACCGAAATCAAGGAAACCAACTGTGACAGAACTCCGGTCGTGTTTGGAAAAGGCATTAACTTTCCCACTGGGGCTTTGTTCATTCTGCAAACCTGATTTATCACGAGACCAACCCCCTGGATGGGCTTTCTCTCTTCCTCACTTTTTCCCCCCCGTTCAGTTTTCATTGGAGTTTGGTGCCTCTGGACCAAATCCAATTATCTTTTACTCCCACAAGGGTCTTCCCCAACCAGGAATAATGACACCAACTGGTGATGTAATCTCCGCTGAAAACCCTTTTCATCCCTTTCCAGCTGATGGCATCCTGCCCCCTGCTGTTACCCAGCCCTCAGTGGACATGAAAGAGACAGTGCTCGTGTGAAATTATGCCTGGATTGCACACACTGCTATTTACTCATCCAGGAGCAGTTTGGAGGCTGAGGCTCCCAGTTAGCGATTTGATCTTAATCGGTATTGTCCTTGGCCCCTGGTACACTGTGCCTCTCAGATACCGCTTTTCAGGTGTTTGGATGGCCTAGTTAATTGAACAGCTGAAACTTCCTGCGCCTAAGAGACAGGAACTCCCAGTCCTTTTGCTTTGGTTCAAAATCACCCTGACACATCCTCATTTGGTAGAGATGACAACCTAGGTAACTGCTAGAAACTTTGCTGTCCTATACCTAGTAGGCCTGCTTGGTTATAGCCTTCTTGGTGCACCCCCAAATCTCAAAAGGTTTCTGACTGAGGTCTGGGTGTGTGTGATGGGGGTGGGTAATAACACAAAACCGCTGAGAAATGTCCCCCATGGTATTCATAGTCCACCTTCAAAATACAAGAAATGCACACCATGAAAATGGCCCACACGGAGCACTTCTGCTCTCTCTGGCCTTGGGAGTCAAGAGCATGACCTTTCAGAAGAGTCCTGAGCTGCCCAGCACATTGGAGTCCTAAGAGGTCAGCACTTCTCACCATTGCCATCACTGACGGCCTCACTGGAGGAAGTTGTTGCCGGGAATTATTTGGCATGTGGCATTCTCCTCCACACTTTGAGGAGCCAAGATTGGAATTGTCTTATGGGTCTGCCAAGTAGGAGAAAAAATATCAATACTGTATAGGCCTGCCTTA